CCCCCCCTTTCCATTTTGTTCAGCCATCAGAAGCAATAAAAACATATTTGACATTTCCAAGCATTTGGGAGCATGTCACTTGATCTCCTTCCTCCCACGTGACAGTCCTTGTGCTAGCTAATTGGCTGCTTAGACACCTGGCACGGTCACATGGAAAGGCTGAGGACTCTTAAGGGCTTTTTTATTGGTATATGACAGTTCTTTACGTGTCTGTTATCAGTGCTGAGCTCAGCTCATAAGGTAGGATAGCCTTACAGACACTTCTGCCCTGATAGGGAGAGAATACAAGTAAATAATACAAATTGGCTTGAGTGAGGCTGCACCAATACCAATACAAGAGTGGAGGTTCAGATTATCATAGATGCCCACTGGGGAGTTGTTCTCTTTAAAATCAGGCTCTTGGTAATTCTTTCCACCCAACTCCCCCCACCCTTCCCTACCGTGTCTACTTTTTCTTTTTGCTTTGAATTGTGACTTTTTGCTTGCAGTTCTGCTTTAAAATGTTTCCCCTTTTTTGTTAGTAGGTTTGCTCGGTTGTGTAGGCTTGTAGTTTCTGCTTGCTGTCCCACACTGTGCTTTTTAAAACAATGGAATGCTGGAGAATGATTGTTCTAACGCATGAGGGGTCTCTTCGTATTTGTTGTTTTGCTCTAATGGAGAAGTTATAAAAAAAATGTCTTCGTTTTAAATTTTTGACTCGACGTATCCTTGGAAACAACAACAAGCGCAACACAATAGAGCACTTTCTAAGTGCATTAAAAATGGCCAAAAAAAGTTGTGAAGGAAAAAAAAAAGAGGTGTGTAATTTTATTGTAATTCTAAAAGTATTAAAATACATTGCCCGCTCCGTTATGTAACCTGAGTTATGTTCACGTGAAGAGTATGGTCATGTCAACTGTGGACCGCTAACTGCACCTTGGCAAACCCTTATTCTGGTCAAAAGAACTCTATGATGTGCTGTGTTGGCTGTCCTCTTCAGCTCCGGATGTAGGTAAATATCTGCATAAAGTATCTTGAGGAAGTCCTGGCAATATGAAACCAAAAAGCAGCCTTTCTATTGGCCATATCAGAAAGGTGATTTATACCATCCATGCTAAACAACATGGAAGGAGGAATCTCTTCTCCTGGCTATTGTGTTTAAGCAGGCCTGCTTGAATATCTGAACAGTGACTTGTCTTCGACATGTTGTTTGTTGTATAAAATAATGCCCTTTTCTTTAGCATGATCATGCAAGGAACTCAAACTGACACATATCTCAGCTTAAAGGAGAACTATGACATGAGTGATTTCCACTCACCTCATAGTTCTAGCCGACCTGTGACAATGAGACTGTCACAGGTCGGCTCAGTAGATCGGGAGGTGAGCGAACACATACCGGGTTCGCTCACCTCTCGATCCTGTCACGGCTCTCTGCCGTGACAGGGGGAGGGGCTGGATTCCCCTCTCCCCGCTCCGATCTGCCAGCGCTGACTGGCGGAATGGACAGGGGAGGGGGCGGGTACAGCTGGCTCTGCCTCTAGGTAGGCAGAGCCAGCTGTCACTTACGCAGCTGGGCGGATCCCGTCAT